GCCATGCTGGCTGGGGAATTCTGGGAGTTGAAGTCCACACATCTTAAAGTTGCCAAGGTTGAGAAACACTGGGTTAAGGTGTTGGACTAGGAATGGAGAGATTTCGTTTCTAGTCCCTCCTTGACCATAGAACCCCACTGAGTAACTTTCAGTCCCTTTCTCTCAGCCCAGCTGAGTGTTTAACCTGGAAATAGATGATGGGATGGCCAAGCCAGCCTTCTGGAGGGAGGGAGAAGAGGAAGAGATTGGCATGCTCAGGAAATCTCCCAAGATTTGCAGAAATCCCACCCAAAATGAGGTCTGGATATGCTCATTAGGCAGAGAATTTAGAGTGCATATTGGAAACGAAAAAAATAGCTGGGGGTGGAGTAAAATCCTTTGCTTCGAAAGAATAACCAACTGGAAACACAAACAGAGATTGTGTTAGCCAAAGAATTTTCTTTTATTTTTGAAGTTCTATGCCAGGCTCCTGTTTTTTCCTCCGCCCTCCACAAAGCGTCACAAATGATGCTGCATTTTAACCGTTGTCTTGATACAACATTAGGAAATTCAGGGTAGTCCAGCTGGCTATGGACCGCAGATCTGCTTTCACCTCTGGAAACAGCCCCAAAATGTTCTGTCCTTTATGAAGTCCACTTTAAAGAGATTCCATTCCCCTTATTTTCTTTGATCAGCCACCTGCCTCAAAAAGTGGGTTATCCTCCCACCCACTCCAAGAAGTGTATTTATACTTTCTCTTTCCCAATTGATCTTCATCCCAAAACTGTGGGGGAGAAAAAGAAAATAAATGGAAGTTTGGGAACCATGCTAACGGAGGAACGCGCCTTTGATTGTTAGCAATGATGAGTGCATTGCCTTTCTCGCATTGCCTAAATGAGCATCTATTAATTTGGAGACAAATGGAAAATGATGGTGTTGGTGAAAGGAGAAAGGAGGATTCCTGTTCAGGATTTCAGTCCCTCCAGGTTTTTCCTCCACCATTTCTGAGTGAAGGATTTTGAGGAGCATAGAAATATGCGTGAAAATCCCAGCTCTGTTAAAATCATGTCTTTCTCCACTGAAGGTTATGGACAATTTCCAGTTCTGTTCCAAGAGTCATTTTATTTATCATCTATAGAAACAATGGGATCTTTCTTTCTTTCACAATTCCTCCTGTTCACCCATTCTATTTTCTCATTCCACTCAACCAGCACAACAACAAGAAGTATTTTTCTTCTCCTGTCAGGGTTACATGATTTTCTGGGATAATTTGAGTTAGTTCCAGGCATTTTCGAAGTAACATGTTAAAATATAACATGTCCCAGCAAAGTGGGTTTCTTTATGAATACAGAGGTGATACAGCCAAAATATTTACTTCTTGTAAAAAGCTGTAATTCTGGAATAACATACTAATGAGCAAATAACTCAACTGCAAGATCTCAGCTTTAATAATTTAATAATTTATAATAACAATAACAGCAAGTATTATTGTTACTTGTATCTCTGCCAATCACTGGGTTTTTCCAAACCTAGTGATACCTCCCTTGCATATGGATTTTGCCTCAGCCTAAGCAAACTTCACTTCATATGTGAAGGAATTAGGATGACATTGTAAAGCAATAACTCTCTCTCTTACACATACAGAAACACACTTTGCAAACTGCAGGAGAAAAATGTATGAATGTTCAGAAGGATGCAAGTTGAGATTTTGGAAAAACGGGGGACAATCTAGGCCACAGGAGCTAAGCAGATGTTCACTCTCTATAGAAGATTGTTTCCAACTGTTACACAAACATTTGGTGTCTTAGTTTCTCTGAACCATTCACTGGCTTCATTAGAGTCATACAAGGCCTGCAAAATTCTTGGCAACCTTCAAGAAAAATGGGGCAGAGGGTGGGGAGAGATCAAACTGTGTTGAGGAAATAACAAAGACTTGTTTCTCCGCACTGTGAGACTTAACATAGTGTATCTTTCACTGTTTCCCAGGGTACCTTGGCACAAAACAAGCAATGAGAGAGAAATGCTGAAGTGGTTTTTAATTCTTGCTGATGAGGAAGTGGATTGCATTACTATTATGGGATAATGAAGTTCGGAACCCTTGTTTCTGCTGAACCACCTTTCAGCAAGACCTGCGACAATGAGGAAAAGTTTTTGATGGGAGACTTGCATAAAAATTAAGAGATGTCAGAGTTTCTAACAATAACTGAGTTTTGGTTCATGTAAGTTCAGAGGATTAACTTCCAGAAAATTGCCATTCTACTATCAGATCTTGTGGTTCAGGGAAAGAATGGAACGTTCTGCCATTGCTTAGAATGTTGTATTCCCAGAATGGTAGGTTTTGCCCACGCAGGTTGTAAAAATAAGTTAAATTATCATTTAAAAACAACGAGCATGAACTTGTTCTCTGTCCCTAACTACATCAAGGAGACTTTTTCCACAGTGCTATCAATTGTACCATAAAGCAACAACAGATGTAGCCAGCTTACGTCTTGAACTAAACCCTAGTAGATGCACCAGACTAGTTAGGTAGCTCCAGGAATCTAAGTTCTGCAGGTATCAGAAGAAAAACAAATGCCTTAGGTCTTAAGCGCCTAGTTTTAAAACCAGGAAACTGGTTGAAATTAGTTTCAAAGGATTCCTCCTTTGAGTTTGAAAGCTAAACTGGTAGAGTGAGATGTCAATGAAGAAGTGTTCTTATCTTAGATTAAATTCCAGCACAGGAATATATACTTAGAGGAGTGTGTGACTATGTACAATAGTGGAATGACTAATGGTTTGGAGGAATTCAGCAATAGTAGACACATTTTAGAAATCTGGACTTTGTATACCTTTTAGGTTACAAGGACCTTTCCAAATCCAAGCAGTTATTCTATGATAGCTGATCTCTAAAAGCAAAATGCAGGAAGTTTCTTGAAGTTATGGAACTTTGGGTCTGATCAGCACCTGTCTGGGAGGTAACTTGGTAATCCAATATATGGGATTTTGAGACTGATTATACAATTAAGTCACAGCATTAATGTCCTATGTTAAAACAGAAAAATCAATCAGGGCTCGTCATATTTCCTTTCATTCTTTTGAAGAAATTTTGAAATAACAAGAGAAATAATAATAAGTAAAATGCACACATACACACAGAACACCAACAGGTCAGAACATTGTATTAGACGTTATGTATTTCTTACAACCTTAACAGTAGAAATGTATCAATTTTAGTTGCCCACTATTGTCCGGTGTATAAAACTTGTGTTTTCTTCAAATTCTGTTATAGGAGAGACAAATACATTATGACAGCCTACAGCTCATTTCTTTGGGATACAGATTTTTGTCATCCGTCTTTTCTGAAGTCCACATTTTCATAAGCTGTTGTTTCTACCGTCTCTTGCTGTGGCTCTACACATTTCTGAAAAGCAGCTATATCCTTCTGCTCAATTTCTTCTCTTTCCTCTTCTTTGGCTTCCAACTCTAGGTTCTCCCTTGCCTGGTTCTTGGCTTGTTTCCTTAAAATGAGGAGTATAAACACACAAGGGATGTAGGACACTCCACGGAGAACTGATGGCAAGCCCAGGTACAACAGCCTAGGAACACAATTTGAACTGCATTAATTAAATCACCATGTCCAGTAGCTCTGCCTTGCAACCAGAGATTCCACTGCATTTAAGGAACTTCAGTTTTAGTGACACCTTTATGATGTTCTTGTTTTTTAATAGGTAGTACCACTCATTCATGATTCCTCATCAAGTGGAATAAGGTACCGTTAAGTTCAATCCTAGGCCCTGAACTACTCAAGATATTTATTAATGACTTGGATAAAAAGGTAGGGATATTATACTAACCCAGTATTCAGATCATATAAAACTATATGGGATAGCTACCCAAGAAGACAGAAATAACATTCAAGACTATCTTCATTGGTTAGAGAGATGGGGCTAAAAATTGCAGAATGAAATTTAGTAGGGACTCATTCAGAGTGGAAAAGGAAATAAAATACAATAGGAATATTTTGCTCGCTAATAGTATTTGGAAAAAGATCTTGGAATAGGAGTTGACTGTAAACTAAATTAGACTCTTCCGTGTGATGTGACTACAAAAAAGGCAAATGCAACATTAGGCTGGCAAGACTGAAATTTAGTTTCCATATCACAGGAAGCAATCATTCTTCTATATTCTGCACATAGGTTAGACCTTGAGTAACTGCCTTGTTCTGGATACCACACTCTAAGAACTGGATGGAGTTCTTTGAATCTGGGAACGGAAATGGATGTTTCCAAAATATGGGAGAAGAACAACAAATGGACATTTTTGTTACATTAAATGAGCAATTAACATCCCATTAAACTAAGACTCTGTCAGAAAGAAGATCAAAGTGAGGAGAGTGCCCTTGCCTCAATATCCTCACTAACAAACGAGAGCCAGAGTACACTTTGGCTCTTTCCAAGATTCTGTAATGTCATCCCTTGCTCATCACAGTATATAACACGCCTGCTCTGGATCTGTGAGAAGCTTCCTTTCTAGATTGTGAACCTCTGCGGAGGGGCTTGACAGAAGGACTCAATCAAACTGGAGCAGATTCAAAAATGGGAGGGACAGGTGAGACGCAAAAGCACAGTTGGATTATGTGAAACAAGAGTGGCGAGAATCCAGTAGCCATACCTGTATGTGTCAGAATCATACATCCGACATGCCCCTTTCCCACCACATGTCTTTGTTCCCCATTTCAAACAGGTGGTGTCAATCATAGCTCCAAAATAAATAGGTGATGGGATTCCAGCTACATGGGGTAAGACATAAAGACAAGAAAAGTCATTTTCATTAACCAAACTCTTTTGTTATTTGAAATATAAAACTACCGGCCTACTTTCTTGTACACTTTCCTCCTTTTAATGGTTGCTATTTGTATCAAGAGCCAGTCTGGTGTAGTGGTTAAGGCATCAAGTTAAAAACTGGGAGACTGTGAGTTCTAGTTCCGCCTTAGGCACGAAACCAGCTGGGTGACTTTGGGCCAGTCCCTGTCTCTCAGCCCTGGGGAGAAGAAGGCCAGGGCAAACCACTTCCAAAAACCTTGCCAAGAAAACTGCAGGGACTAATCCGGGAAGTAACCAGGAGTCAAAATCTGACTCGAAGGTACAAACAATAAAATAATAAAATAAAATAAAATTTGCAACACACACACACACAAACAAACAAACAAACAAACCAAGGAGT